GGGCGGCGCCGATCCGAGAAATCCGCGCGAACCTCCGAGTTTTTATGTTTATGTCCTTCTTCGTTCCCCTAACCGTTTACTTGGCGGTGGACAAACCTCCCTTTGGCAAACCTCCCCTTTGTGAAAGCAGCCTGGGACCGAAACCGACGCACCTGGACCCGCAGAAGCGACGGCCGCGACGCCCTCTCGCGAACCGAAAAAGGCCAGTTCCTCGATCGACGTGTCAGGGTAGGAGATCTGTCCACCTCCGATTTACGGGGAGACGAGACGAGACGCGCGTGTCCGCCGGCAGGCGGGCCCTTTAGGAGCGGCGCGGGCGGGCCGGGGCCCGGTCAGATGTGCGCGTGCGCAAGGTAATCCTTCTCCCAATTCTTCCACAATGTCCGGTCTCCAGCAACATCCAACCACGACGTGGCATTGTCCCCAGTGGTAGCTCGTACAAATTGTGATATTTCGTCGCACCACCTCTTTCGCTGTCCTCCGATTTACGGGGGGGGGGGGCCAGACACACGGAAAAAGTGCGCCAATTGCAAGACATGAGATCCTGCGTGACAGAGATGCGCGGGAGAGGCGGCGCCCCGCTCGCCCAGCGGCCGGGAGAGAGAGGGGGGGGGGCAGTGCTCTCAGGTCGGGCCTGTCCCCCTACGGGGGGATTTGGGACAAAAAAAAAATGCTCAAAAGATGCCCAAAGATACTCAAAAAATCGTTCCCTGGCTATTTTTTGACTATTTTTGAATATTCCCCCTCTGTAGAGGGACAGGCCCGACTTAACAGTACTCGTGTGTCGAGTCATTGCCTAGCCGAGGCAAGCTGCGCGCCAAATCTGACATGCAGGTCTCGGGAAAAAATGGCAAACACTCCTGCAACATTCATCCGTCCACGCCTCCCCCTCCCCCCAATGTTCAAGGCTGGCGGTGGGCCTGTGATGTGTTGCACCTCGACCGCAGTCTCCCCCGCCGTGCCAGCTTCGAATTTGGGGGGGAGGGGAGATGTTCAGTGAGTGTTTCCCTCCACCGTCCCTCACAACCCCGGAATCCTCTTCTCGTTGCCGAGGCCCGAGGCGGGCAACGGCTCGGGCCTCGGCCCCGCACTTGCAGCGCGGCAAGCCGGAACGGCCCGAGGGGGGCGGCCAGACGTCGCGCGGCGAGGTCGGGCGACGTCCTGGGCGGAGGAAAGACGAGCACGGTCGACAAGCGCCATGCAGGAAGCAGACATTGGCGGCGCGCAGAAGGGGGGTAGGGGGGAGGGGGGCAGGCTTCTTCGAGGGAGGCTGGCTCCGTAGAAGGCGCCGGCCCTGCATCTGCAGACAAGGCCCGCGCCTTCTAAGAAGCAGGAGTGCTTCTAAGAAGCCTTCCCCCCATCCCCCTGCCCCCCTCTGCGCGCCGCCAAAGACACGAGGGAGGAGGCTCGGTTCGGTCGTCCTCGAAGGCACGAGTCACGCTCGCGACTGCCGGGCGGCTGCCGCTCACCAGGGAAACAGCAGCCGAGGCGAGGGAGGAGCAGGAGGAGGAGCAGGAGCAGGAGCAGGAGCAGGAGCAGGAGGAGGACCAGGAGGAGGAGAAGAGAGAGGGAGGCGAGAAAAAGACTGGAGGGAGCGGGGAAGGGGGGAAGGGGGGAAGGGGGGGGGACGGGGGAAAGGGGGGAAGGGGGGGCGGGCTTCAAAGTCGGGACGGGCTTCGGCACGATCGTGCGGCACACGATCGTCATCGAGGGCTTCCACATCGTCGCAGCCGGCATCGTCAGCTGGGGGCAGGACCCCGGTGTCCTTCGCCGACAAGGGAAGCGGCGGCGGGCCCCGAGGCGAGCAGGAGGGCCGCGGCAGAGGGCAAGGCCGCGGAGAAGGCAGAGGCAGGAAACCACAACACGAGCGAGGGGCAGAAGCCGCTGGACAGGCGGCGATCGGCCAGAGACCGATGTGAAGAAGCACTGCGTCTCTGAAGACGTTACGCAGACGACTGAGCCTCTTCGACCGCCCGAGCCACTGAGATAGCCATAACCTACTGGCCCCAGAGTTGGCACGCACAGTGCCGCCTTCTGTCTTGGACTGCCTCGCCAAGAGCAGCAATGTCATTCTCGACCGCTCTTGGGATAACGATGTCCAGTACGAGTTCTGCCGTGCCCTCATGCAGCTCCAGGCAGCTGCGCATCAAGAGCCTTCTTTCCGACGCTGCTTTCTCGCCCAGGGCTTCCAGCTGCAGATGGCGGTCGTCCTCGCAGCCGCCGCCGAGTCAGCACACTGACGCCTTCTTCAACCTTCTCCGACGAGATTTGGAGCGAACATCGTCGCACGAGTCGCAGCTGAATACGAAGCGGTTCGACCAGCAAGAAGCGTCATGGCTGAAGCGCAACAGCGCGACCATCACGTGCGTCGATCGCGACCAGGGCCTCGGAGACGCCCTCGTGGGCAGGTACTGGGTCGAGAACACGGTTTGCGACCACCTCGGCACATGCTATCACGAGCTGGAGCTGGGCGCCGTTAATGAGGCACTACTCGGCACGCGCATCGGCGTGAGTTGTCCTCTGGATCAGACCTTCGCAGCAAGGCACATCACGAATAAGGAACACGCACACCTGCAAGCAGGACTCCATACATCAAAGCTGGGAGCTGTCAGGGTGATCATCATGATGCAGAAGTGCCCACTTCTGATCCGACACACTTCAAACCTCGCTGGCACAAAGATTTAGCCCAGAGGCATTGTTATTGTGCATGCATTGGGCCATGTCGTGAAACAGCCAGATCATGTCACCGTCATCACTGACGATTTCTTGGACCGCGAGCGGCGCACACGGACTCGACCAGGAGCGCGACTCCGAACAGTGGACGTACATAACCTTTACCCTTCCATGGATAGACAGCACTTCACGGAGAAAGTGACGCCGCTGGTCAGGCGCATCGTATCGGACAAGGGGCAAGGTCTCTCTGCTAGTTGAGCTGACGAGAGTCACCCTGGAACCAGCCCAGTCTGTTTCGAGGGCTCATCGCGGCGGTATACAAACTGTTCTTTCGCAGGCCGCCAATTTCGCAAACATGTACATACACAAGTGGGACGCATACTATCTCACAAACGGAAAGGGGAGGATACAACACTATTTCTGCTACATCTACATCGACGACGCGTTCATGCCAGACAATGTGCAAGATGAAGAGATCGACACGCTGGCGAATTATTGGCACAGAAATGCACAATGGCTCAGGACAGGCAGGGACGTCGTCACATTGAAGGATCTGAGCATCAAGACAGACCGACGAGTATGGAACTATGTGCTTCGGCTTCCACAGAACAAAGCTCAACCTCTATCTCCTTACGACCTCAAAGCATCCCCAAAGTGTCTTGCGATGTTCGATTGCAGGCGAAGCAAAGCGCATCGCCAGACGGACACAGACTCAGGCCAGCCTGGATAAACACTGGGCGTTCTTCAGAGAGCGCCTACGCGAGTGTAGGTTTGACATCAGCTTCGTGAACAGGCAGCTGGCTAGAGTCAGGGAGGAGGAGGAGGGGGAGGGGGAGGGCGAGGAGGAGGAGGAGAAGGAGGAGGAGGAGAAGGAGGAGGTAGAGGAGGAGGAGGAGAAGAAGAAGGAGAAGGAGAAGGAGAAGGAGAAGGAGGAGGAGGAGGAGGAGGAGGAGGAGGGGGCGACACGCCCCGGGATGCGCGACAAGCGGTGAGCTTCGCGCTGGGGGCGAGCAGTGGGTCGCCGCCGCCGCCGTGGAGGCCCGCCAGCGGCGGCACCGCGCTGCCAGGGGGTTGCACAGACGTGCTCGCTGCGTGCGATGATCATGATGGATGTCTTTGGCTGTTTCTCTCCGGGGGCCCCCGCCGGGCCCCGGGACCCTCAAGAAACGTCTCGGGGTGAAAACTTGCCCTGGGGAAGGAGAGGGTCGACAACTTCTAGAGACCCCGCGTTGAAAAACACAACACCGCATGTCTGGAGGGGGGGCGCGAGCAATTTGACAGCGCGCAAAAAAGGGAAAGGCACGACCTCTGGCCATCTGAGAAGCGTCACGAAATCTTCTCCAAGGCCGCTCAGAAGGCTTCTCGGGAAGCCTGAGGGGCCTCTGAGAGGCCCCGCCGCCTTCTGAGAAGGCCCGCCCCCTCTCGCATCCCCCCTCGGCGCGACGCGCGGTCAGCATCGCGCAGGCGGCGAGCAGTGCCCGGGTGGCTTAACTTCGCGGAGCTCGCCCAGCTGTGCGCGAGGCGTGGTTGGCTTCGCGCCCTCGCGCCCTCGCGTGAAAGTCAACTCTCCAGTCCAAACCGCGACACGCGGCGCGCCATCGCCTTCGCGCCTCCAGGCGGGTGACCCGGAGCACGGTCCGAGCGTGCCCACAAGGGCGCGGGGGTCGAAAGCAGGAGCCCCCTCGCCGCAGGGCCCCAGTGTGACCCGCGGAGGTGCCCAGGACGGAGGAGACCCCAAAGGCGGAGGGCCCGAACGCGAAGAATAGGAGGGCACGCCTCCCAGCTGCTCCTCCTCCGCCTCCTCCTCCTCCTTCTCCTCCTCCTCCTCCTCCTCCTCATCCTCCGCCTCCTCCTCCTCCTCCTCCTCCTCCTCCTCCTCCTCCTCCTCCTCCTCCTCCTCCTCCTCCTCCTCATCCTCATCCTCCCACTCCTCCCTCTCCTCCTGACCCTCGTGCCAGCTGCCGATGCATCGCTGGTGCATCGGTGGTGCATCTCCGATACGTCGGCGATGCGGCGCGATCTGGGAAATCAGACAAGATGGACCTCGCGAGGGATCTGGGGGCCGGTCCTGAGCGGATCTGGGTACGAGACGGGGCGAGGGGGTCTGTTAATCTCCTCGTAGTTCCCTCTGCCACTCCTCATTCCCCTCCCCCGGCCACTCGAGCTTCTGTCTACATCCTCCCTCTTGTTCCCCCTCCTCGTCGTACCCCTCCTCGAACAACTCCTCTTCTTCATCCTCCTCCTCCATCTCCTCCTCCTCCTCCTCCTCCTTCTCCTCCTCCTCCGTCGTCGTGCCCCCCTGGCCCGAGTATACCCCAGAGCTCAGCGGCGAGCGTCGACGTGGGGATCCAGCCCGCCATCAGGCCCGCGGGGCCGTCACTCTTGACGATGAGCGCCATGGCCGAGAAGACCTCGGCGGAGCGGAGGACGGGACTGAGCACGGGGAGGAGGAGGAGGAGGAGGAGGAGGAGGAGGAGGAGGAGGAGGAGGAGGAGGAGGAGGAGGAGGAGGAGGGGGAGGAGGAGGAGGAGGAGGAGGATGGAGGAGGAGGAGGGAGGAGGAGGAGGACGGAAGAATCCGGCTACGGCAAGGGAAATCAGGAGGCGGAAGCGGATCAGGACGACGGCGCGGGGGAGGATGGGGGACTTGAAGAGGGGGAGAGGATGAGGAGAAAAAGAAGAAGGAAAAAAAGGAAAAGCAGGAGGAGAGGAGGAAAAGAAGGAGGAGGAGGAGGAGGAGAAGGAGCAGGAGGAGAAGGGGAAAAGGAATAGGAAAAGGAGGAAAAGAAGAGAAATGAGGAAAAGGTGGAAAAGGAGAAATAGGGTGAGGAGAAGGACCAGAGTAAACCCGAGATGCATCAGCGAAACTACAATACACCCTCCCGTCCCAAGTCCCCTGCTGATTAGTCCCTCAGAGCCGTCGCTACCACAACACGACGTCCCGCACCCTGGGCCGGCCATTCAGGCGAGAGTCCCGCTTTAAAAGGAAAGGCCTTGTATCCTTCTACCGAGCATTCCACCGAAGTGTCCAGCAAGATCCCCGTTTTGAAGAAGGACCGCCGAACCTGCTTAACGGTGACACAGGCTTACGCTTCTGGTTATGAGCTTCAACGAAGTCTCAACGAGCCCCAGCTTGAAAAGAAACCACCCCTTCATCCCTGCAGATGCAGGTAACCTCAAGCGAGAACCCCATGTTGAAAACGAACCGTCAGCCATTCCTGCAGTCGTTGTAGACTTTCGAAACGAATGTGCACTGCGCCAAGGCGAGAACCCCATATTGAGGAGGACCCGCCCTCCATCCGTGTGACTGTTGCCACGAACCTGGCGCAACCCAAATTAGGGATATGCTTAGAGAGTACAGGGTTCGCTAAGGACTTGCTTCCTTACGAAACCGCCGAAACCCTCGCGAAACCCTCCGAAAACTCTCCGGGAAGGGTGGCGGGAGGCTTTTCGGAGGGTTTCGAAAGGGTTTGGGGGAGGGTCTTCGCCGTTTGGAGGGGAAGCCAGTCCCCAGCGGTCCCTGGGTTTTCTGAGGATCTTCTCTCTTCCTGAGCAGCTCGAAGCGAGTCGAAGCAGCAAGACCTCCGACGACGGGGCGGGAGGGGCAAAGGGAGCAGCGGCGGCGGCGGCGCCGGGCATCGTCATTGTCGAGGCCCGCCCGCCCCCCGCAGGCTCCCGGGGCACACGGGAGGCGCCGCCCTGCCTTCCCTCTCACTCCCGCGCTCCCGCTCGCCGCGACGACCAGGAGGGAAAAGGAGGAGACGGAGGAGGCGAAGGAGAAGGAGGAGGAGGAGGAGGAGACGGAGGAGGCGAAGGAGAGAGGAGGAGGAGGAGGAGGAGGAGGAGGAGGAGGAGGAGGAGGAGGAGGAGGCGGCGGCGGCGGCGGGGGGAGGGGGGGGAAGGAAAGGGAGGATGGGGGAGGAAGCGGAGGCGGAGGAGGAGGGCCAGGGAGAAGAGGAGGGAGAGGAGTAAGAGGGGGAGGGGGAGGACGAGGGGGAGGCCTCCCTTAACTGAACTAACTACTGCACCGACCACTGCAGAGGCAACTGCAACTTCGCCGTGGTTGCAACATCTGCACCTGTGCTGGAACGAGAACGCCGATGTGCATGTTCACCTCTGCCGCACCCCACTGCCGCGCCCCATGCCGAGATCAGGAGATCACAAAATTTCGAAGGTCAGCGCGGAACTCTTGGAGAACTCTTGGATGGGCGCTGGGACCCCTTCCCCCCTGGCGCGGGCCGCGCGCCAGGGGCGGCGCCGGAGGTGCCGACGGAGGGGGCCCAGCGCTGCTCCTGCGCGGAACTCCGAACATGTTTGCGGACGTCGCCTCTGGTTGTTTTAACGGGCGAAGAACGGTATAGAATAATTGTTTTCGCTGTCGGGTGCGCCTGTCCCAAGGCGGCTGGAAAGTTTATACCCTTACGGTGGCACCGTAGGGGTATAAACTTTCCAGCCGCCCAGGGGCAGGTGTCCCCGACGGAGGAAAGTTTATTTTATACCGTTCTTCGCTCGCTGGTTCTTCTTCGAACGACACAATTCACCTGCCGCCACCGGCGCTCCGAACACCACTCTCGCCCGGAGGCGCAGATTTGCCGTGGCGTGGGCCACCAGCCATTTTCATGCAATGTTTGTTCTTCGAGACGACGACGACGACGACGACGACGACGACGACGACGACGACGACGACGACGACGACAACGACGGCCCGCCAGGGAGCGCGCGTTGGTGTAACCGGCGCGCTCCGCCACCGGCTTCATGCTGTCCGCCTGCATGCGGATGAGCGCCAGGTCCGCCGGGTTCCCCACCTCTTCTCGGAGGGGGCGGCCCCAGGAAGGGGGACGATGAGGAGGAGGAGGAAGAAGACGAAGAAGAGGAGGAAGAGGAGGAAGAGGAGGAAGAGGAGGAGGAGGTGGAGGGGGGGGAGGAGGAAGAGGAGAAGGAGGAGGAGGAGGAGGGGAAGGAGGAGGCGAGAAGGAGGAGGGTAGAAGGAGGACGAGGAGCCGAGCGCAGCCGAAATACTCAGACGGTGCCTGGATGCGATTCCGTATGCTGTGACCTCACCAGGCAGGAACCAAATCGCGGAGAAAGCCGTGCAACTCTCCTGCGACCTCCCAAGATTTGCAACCAGCTGGAAATTGCCGCTTGCAGCGATGGTCAGGGCAGAATGCCAGTAGAGCTCCCCAAAGACAATGGGGAGGCTTCGGAGTGGCTTCGAAAACAAACTTGCACGCTTCAAGCATGGTTACTTGAGACCTCCAAAACAAACCCGACGGCCAGATCCACGCTTGACCATGCTTGATCACGCGTCATGGGTATTGGATGTACGGCGTGCCGCTGCTTGCATGCCAAACACTCGTGCTAAGTGTCAATTCGACGCATGCTTGATAACGAACGAACGAACAAACGAACGACCACCATCTGAACGCTTCGCCCAACGGTCGCCGCACCCGTGCCCCCCGCTTCGACGCCTGTCCCGCAGGCCATCCGAGCGGCCGGTGCCCCACGGGCGTGCTCTGCAGACCTCTCCTCGCCCGGCCGAGCGACGAAAGCGGCTCGTGCTCGATGGATGGGCTGGTGGGGGCACCTCCTCCTCCTCCTCCTCCTCCTCCTCCTCCTCCTGCTCCTCCTCCTCCTCCTCCTCCTCCTCCTCCTCCTCCTCCTCCTCCTCCTCCTCCTCCTCCTCCTCCTCCGCCGCCTCCTCCTCCTCCTCCTCCTCCTCCTCCTCCTCCTCCTCCTCCTCCTCCTCCTCCTCCTCCTCCTCCTCCTCCTCCTCCTCCTCCCTCCTCCTCCTCCTCTCCTCCTCCTCCTCACCTCCTCCTTCCTCCACCTCCTCCTCCTCCTCCTCCTCCTCCTCTCTCCTCCTCTCCTCCTCCTCCTCCTCCTCCTCCTCCTCCTCCTCCCTCCCCTCCTCCTCCCCCTCCTTCTCCTCCTCCCCTCGTCCTCCTCCTCCTCTGTCCTCCTCCTCCTCCTGCCTCCTCCTCCTCCTCCTCCTCCTCTCCTCCTCCTCCTCCTCCTCCTCCTCCTCCTCCTCCTCCTCCTCCTCCTCCTCCTCCTCATCCACCTCCTCCTCCTCCGTAGCCATTTTGGCTCAAGGCCAGGTGTTCCGCCTTCGGCGCGCGGGACCCATGTTGGCGCGGGACGCTGCCTCCGCCTCGTCCGCGGCGTGCGCAGCGACTGGAGACGGAGGGGGGCGACGGCGCCTTTGCGGCGCTGCTGGTGCTCGGGCGTCTGCCGACGCGCTGATCCAGCGGCTCACGCGGGAGCTTGCCTCGGCCCGCGCGGAGCACGCGGCGCTCTTGCTAACGCTCGGAGACGAGGAGGTGGTCCAGCGGCTGGTCGCCGTGGCACCTGCTCTCGCCTCGCTGCTGCGGGGGCAGCACCCCGTGCCCGCGGACAAGCAGCGCATGGACGTGGCCCTCCACGCCGAGGCCTCTGGGGTGGGCGTGGCGCGCGCCAGTCCGCGCCAGCTGCGCGCGGCGCGGCGCGGTCCGCGCCTCGGCCCTCGGCAGGCCGCCCAGGAGTGTCGTCATGAGCATGCTCAGGCCGCACAGCCAGTTCAGAAGGATATCGAGGTCTGCTACGCCGTGCCTTCGCGCTTACTGCCCGTTCTCGAGCCGCTGGTCGTTGGCCCGACGGAGTGGAACGCGGATGCCTCCTGTTTCTTGCCAGGTGCGGGTCAACACTTCCTCGCCCGCTGGTCGTGCGACGTCGCCACTTTGCTGACCGAGCTGCAGCTGCAGCCCGTTCTGACTGAGTCGGAGGTTGTCGACGGCAGTTCCATCGAGGACAGGTGCCCTGGTACAGCTGTGTCTGAGGCGGCCGTTGAGGAGTCGAACGCTGCGGAAGCCGTACTCGTCGCACCTGGAGGGCCCTTTGCGGTGCCCAGCTGCGACTCCAACGCCGTTGGCGTCGATGTGCGCTCGGTGGAGGATGGCACGCAGCAGGAGTTCGTTGAGGGCGTCTCTCCGGCACTGGCTGCGCATGGTCGTCCTCTTGGCCGCTCTGTCGGGTCAGGTGAAGTACCTGTTCATTTTCAAGGCGTCTCTCCTGTGGGTCAGTCTGCCGCTCAGGTCGCCTGCGGCGGTGTGGACGTGGAGCTCGGCTGCGCGCAAGTTTCGGCTGTATCCTCATCCTCCCCCTTCGACGGTAGAGACAAGGCGATCCGTGAGGCGGGCCTCGTGCGGCGGCAGCCTGATGTACCGCCGTGGTTGCTCGAGGTCAGTGGTTCAGATCCTGGTTGCGCCCGTTGCGATGGCACCCTCGTTCGTCGACGACGCGGGCCAGTGAGGTGCTCATGCAGGGCATGTGGAATTGCCATTCCTCGTGGAGCGGATGTGACAGCCTGTCCGCGCTGCCGTGCAACGTGCCACAGTTCGTGTCTCAGCCGTTTGTTCGACGAGGATTGGGAAGACTCTGGCAGCTCTTCAAGATGCCGTGCGTGCTTCTGTTCGTTGTGGTCTTCTTCGGGTTCATGCTTGTGGTGGGCTTCACGGCAGGTGCACTCACGCTGCAGGTGGCCTCACCCCACCACCTGTGAGTATGTGGGGGTAGCTTTGCGTCGATGTAAAAAAAATCATCCTCCTCCTCCTCCTCCTCCTCCTCCTCCTCCTCCTCCTCCTCCCCCTCCTTCTCCTCCTCCTCCTCCTGCTCCTCCTCCTCCTCCCCCTCCTCCTCCTCCCTCTGGGCTTCAAATGTTTCCTCACGTCACGCGTTCTCTCACAGTTTTGGTCCCCAGGACCCTCGCAGATCGACCCGGCTCGGAAAATGCTGCAGAGAGAGGGGGTCCGGGGCTGCTTTAGCCGTCGGATCTCAGGGGAGGGGCACGTGGGCGTTTAGACATGCTTGGCGGTCGGGCGCTTGCCCGTTGTATGCGCGGTTCTCGCCGCATCCGAACAAAAGTGGTCGTCAGGCGCACGCGGCGTTCTCGACCCATTGTGCTACGTCCGCTTGCTGGGTAGGCCCTGAAGTACTCCTGAGTCCTAAGGCACACTGTTGCCGAAAAGGCTGAGATACAGAATAGATACCCTGCTCCTGAGCCTCCTCCACCCTCTTCACCTCCTGCCCCCATCATCAGCATCACCATCACCACCACAACCACCGCCACCATCACCATTTCCATCACCATCACGACGACCACCACCACCACCGTCATCATCATCATCATCATCATCATCATCATCATCATCATCATCATCATCATCATCATCATCATCATCATCATCATCAGCAGCATCACCATCATCAGCATCATCATCAAAATCAGCATCACCATCACCACCACAACCACCGCCACCATCACCATTTCCATCACCATCACGACGACCACCACCACCACCGTCATCATCATCATCATCATCATCATCATCATCATCATCATCATCATCATCATCATAATCATCATCATCATCATCATCATCATCACCACCAGCATCATCACCATCATCATCATCATCATCATCATCATCATGATCATCATCATCATCATCATCATCATCATCATCGTCGTCATCGTCATCGTCATCGTCATCATCATCCTCATCATCATCATCAGCATCATCATCATCAGCAGCATCAGCAGCATCATCATCATCATCCTCATCATCATCATCATCATCATCAGCATCAGCATCAGCATCAGCATCAGCATCAGCATCAGCATCATCAGCAGCAGCATCCTCATCTACCACCACCACAACCGTCATCATTAGCATCATCAGCATCATCATCGGCATCCTCATCATCATAAGCATCATCATCATCATCATCAGCATCATCATCATCAGCATCATCGGCATCATCATCATCACCTACCACCACCACAATCACCATCATCGCAACACTCATAATTAGAAGCAGCAGCAGCAACAACAACATCATCATCACCATCGTCATCATCATCACCACCACAACCACCACCATCAACATCATCATCATCATCAGAACCACCACAACCACCACCACCATCACCATTTCCATCACCCTCACCACCACCACCACCACCATCATCATCATCATCATCATCATCATCAGCATCATCATCATCATCATCATCATCATCAGCTCAGTAGCATCATCATCAGCATCATGATCGCCTACCACCACCACCACCATCATCAGCAGAATCAACATCATCAGAATCAGCATAATCGTCACCTACCACCACCACCACCACCACCACCACCACCATGATCATCATCATCAGCAGCAGCAGCAGCATCAGCGTCAGCATCAGCATCATCCTCATCGTCCCCATAATCTTCATCATCATGATCAGCATCATCATCATCATAATCATCATCACCAGCAGCAGCATCATCACCATCATCAGCATGAGCATCATCATCAGCAGCATCATCATAATCGTCAACGATATCATCCTCCTCCTCCTCCTACTCCTCCTCCTCCTCGTCCCACTCCCCTCCGCCTCCGCCTCCGCTTCCTCCTTCTCCTGCCCCTCTCGTCCGCTCCACCTCCTGCCCCCCCTCCTCCTGCAGCTGCCCGTGCCATGTCGCCCTGCACCCCAGGCCACAATGGCTGCGAGTCCGCCAGCAGCCAGCGCACACCCTGCGTTCTCGGCAAAGCTCAGCGCCTGTCCTCGGGACCCAAGACAAGGCGGAGGGGGACGGCGTGACCTTCTGCTGCTACCCCCCCCGGCAGCTCCGCCTCCCTTCTCCTCATCCTTCTCCTTCTTCTCCTCCTCATTATCTTCCTTCTCCTCCTTCTCGTCCTCCGCCTCCTCATCCTCCTCATACTCCTCATCCCCATCCTCATCCTCAACCTCTTCTCCCCTGCACCATTCTCGTTCTCGCTCCCTCTCTCTTATCCTCCTCCTCCTCCTCCTCATCCTCATCCTCCTCCTCCTCCTCCTTCTCCTCCTCCTGCTACTCCTCCTCGTCCTCCACCTGCTCCTCTTCCACCTCCTCCACCTCCTCCTCCTCCTCCTCCTCCTCCATCCCTCCCTCCCTCCCTCCTTCCCTCCCTCCCTCCCTCCCTCCCTCCTTCCCTCCCCCCTCCCTCCCTCATCCTCACCATCACTATCACCAGCATCATCCCATATTCCGTATCCTGTTCCTTCTCTTCCCACTCGCACATAATGATCATCATGTTCGTCATCGTCTCCCTCAGATTCGACTCCTCACTGCTTGGTCCGCACTCATCAATCCTTACTCTACCGTGCGTCCCTCGCTTGATTCCCTCGCTTGATCCCCTCGCCTTCTCTTGATCCTCCTACTCCTCCGTCCCTCGCTTGATTCCCTCGTCCGTCCGTCCGTCCCTCGCTTGATTCCCTCGCCTTCTCTTCATCCTCCTACTCTTCCTCCTATCCCGACCCACTAGTGGTACATACTCACACTCTGCCACCTAGCTGGCCGATGGCGACCCAATACAGGTGGCCCCATTCCACCTGTCGAACAAAAAAACCCTGCTGTTCGCCCCTACATGGACACTGCGTCGTCCATGTTGCAAAATGCATGGCAGGGTTGGGACGGGGCGCGCATCCCTGACTACCTACTGGACCACCAGACCCAACCCGAAGCCCCGAATTTCGCCCGAATTACGGGTTGGGGGGGTACGAGCTTCATACGTGTTTTTCATCGTTCCCCGACCCTCCCCCCACCGGAAATGGAGGGTAAATTGAGGCCTTCGGGTGGTTTGGTTGGGTTACGGGTGGTTTGGTGGGCGGTGAAGCCGGGGCAAAAGGCCGACGCGACGCTCTCGCCTCGGCGCCACGCCCCTTCCTCGAGAGCAGCGGGTCCCCGCTCGAGCGGGGTGCACAGTTTTCGCGCCCCCGTCCGTGGACGCGCCAGCGGGCGGGAGCCATGGCTCTCGCCTCGGCGCCTCGCAGAGAGAGGGAAGAGAGGTGCACGGCCGGGCGACTCAGAGAGCCGCTCGCCCCATTAATGGGGACAGAAATGAGGACATTGTGAAACAAAACGACTACCTGTGCACAATATATGAATAACACCCCTCGCATCGGACAGAATGTTCGGCACAGTGCGGTTGCACCCCCGACGGGGCAGCCTGGCGCCTCGCAGGCTTCGCCGGAGAGCGGCGCTCCCGCCTCGACGCGGCGCGCGCCTGCCGCTCGCAAATTTGAAGGGGGGAGCGGGCTGCGCGAGGGGGCGACATGTCGCCCATCGCCCAGGTTCCTCGCACGCGGGCCGGGAGGAGGAGGAGGAGGAGGAGGAGGAGGAGGAGGAGGAGGAGGAGGGGGAGGAGGGGGAGGAGGGGGCCTCGTGGGTTTTCTGGAGCGGCGTTCCAGCGCGGCGCGGCGCAAATGGCACGTTCGCCGAAGCGCATGGGAGCGACAGCGGCAGGCAGCGGGGGCCGCGCGAGAGCGGGCGAGATGGCGACCTCGCCCAAGCGCAGCTTGTGAGCGAAGGTGGCAACGCTGCGTCAGCGCGGTGCACGCTCCGCCCGCTGGATGTGTTGCCGCTCCCGCCCCTCCGCGGCCCGCACAGTTTTCTCTTCGCCAAGTCGTCGGAAGCGGGACCGCGCGCGAGCGCCTTCCGTTCGCAAGGTCAAAGCGCGTTCCAATCCAAAAATCAGTGTGTGCCACAATTGACTATTCTGTTGTGGGAGGGAGAAGGTGGGATTAAGCGGAACCCTCTGACTAGTACGACCCCGCTAACTTGACTCCTCCTCCTCCTCCTCCTACTCCTCATTATCCTCCCCCCTCCTCCTACTCCTCCCAGAAAGTAAAGCGGGGAGCAACGTAGAGGACAGGACGGCGGAGAGAAAGTCAGGCAATGTATGAATCAAGAGATGATGAAGACGCGTGGGCGAGGAGACGGAACAACAGCAGCAACGAGAAGGATGACGCAGAGAAGAGATGGAGGAATAGGAGGACAGGAGAAAGTGAGGAAAGTAACGAGGAGGAGGAGGCAGAGAGCAAAAGGACAAGGACAATGGCTGACGACGCACGCTCTACCGCACACGAAGTGGAAGCCGACCAAGCATGCCGAGTGGAAGCCGACTCCGAACAGTCTCGCCACGAAGTTGCGAACGTCAGATATACCATGGCCTCTCAACAGGCCTTCCTGCCAACACTCTGCGGTGGTGCAAGACCTGCTAGTTGGGTCATCCACGCTGGGCCTGATGCTGAAGCGCTCGATCGCGACACTCGAATAATCCCGCTGCAGGGCTCTGGCGGCGCCTCGGCCTTATCCAGCTCCACCACGGGCTCGGTCGCATCCGACTCTGGCTGCCGTCCGCCGCCAGAGGGACGCAATGCCACTTCTCGCGGCCCTCCCTGGCCGCACACCCTCCTCCTCTCCCCTCCTCTCATCTCCCCCCTCCCGCGTTCTCTCTTCCACCTCTCTCGCGAAGCCCCCCCTGAACCCTGGAGCCAGTGGCGCGGGAGGCTCCAGGCTTCTTGACCTTCGCGGTGAAGATGTCGAACAGGCCCAAGCGCGCGCCCGTGTACACCACCTGTCAACGGGCGGCCAAGGGAAGAGAGGGCGGACTGGGGAGGGGGGGGGGCGTGCAGCCACCACCTTCTCCTCCTCCTCCTCCTCCTCCTCCTCCTCCTCCTCCTCCTCCTCCTCCTCCTCCTCCTCCTCCTCCTCCTCCTCCTCCTCCTCCTCCTCCTCCTCCTCCTCCTCCTCCTCCTCCTCCTCCTCCTCCTCCTCCTCCCCGCTACCTCCTACCCTCTACCCATCCCATCCCCCATCCCTCCGTCCCAATTTTCTTAGATGGCATCAACCTGCCCTTTCGGAGCTCTGCGCGGATTGCTTGGATCGGCGCTGCACCCCCCTCCCTGGCGCGCGGAGCCGCCCTCCCTGGCGCGCGGAGCGCGCTGGGGGCGGCGCTGGAGGCGCCGCCAGGGTGGTCCAGCGCCGATCCAAGAAGTCCGCCCAGAGCTCCGAAAGTTCACGCTTGCTCAGGCCATCTTTTCTACCTCGAATCTTGAGCACGGCGCCTGCCTGTGTCGGGGGGGCGCAAACATGCATTACTGATCCACGGATTTGGCCCGCGGTCGCCAAATACATGGATCGGGGGAGGTGCCCTCCCCAGAATGCGGCAGGTGCCGCTTCGTTCGGCGACGGAAGTCTGCGATTTCCTTATGAAACGGGACCCGCCGCTAATCCACGCCCCCTTGATCCATTTTTTGTTCATCCTGACAAGGGGGAGGAGGAGAAGGAGGAGGAGGACGAGGAGGAGGGGAAGGAGGAGGAGGACTAATCCCACCAGCCCTCTGGGCGTCGGTGGTTTAGGGCGTTTCCTTTTCCACCCCTGTGCTTTGCGATCGCCTTCCTGTGCTTATCGTTGCGAGTGCCAGCCGTCCCCCCTTTGTTCTCCGGATGCCCGAGCTCCCCCTGGTGGCACCGCCAGGCGTGCCGGCAGGGCGAGCGGGACGTGTTTCGATGGGGGCTTCGGGATCGGCCGATTCTTGACCGTTTGGGCGACGCTGTGGCCTCTTGGCCTCTTGGTTCGCCTTGCTTCGCCTTGGTGGCCAACGTCTTCAAAGGCACCCCCCCAGTGGGCGCAAGGACGAAGCGGACACAGGTGCGACTTAGACTCCCTCTGCCCTACGAGCCACAGCCCCTAACCCAGACCACAGGGAAAACGAACCTGCGATCGTCGCTCAGGCCGCCGTCGCGTTGCCACAGAAGCTACCGTGATCCTGAATGTTTAGTTCCCCAGCAGTTGCACCACGTCGGGCATGTCCTCCCACAGGCTGATGTTGCAAGAAAATACAAAATAGACAAAACGTAATCAAAATAGCCACGAGAGCACGAAAATCATCATCAGACGACTGTTGCTTACCACTATTGAGTATTCCTCCTGTACAGAGGGGCATGCCCGACTTACCAGTTGCAGCGGCGGGAAGCGGACGGTTTTCAAGATGCGAACGCCGATCAAGAACGGGTCTCACGCGAGATGGCACAGCGACCTTGCGCGGTGGCTTACGCGGGCCGCCAGCGCGGCACGCCTCAGTGGAGACGAGGGCGCTTACGCGCGAGCTCACGCGGGCCGCTTACCATTTTTGATCGCGAGCGCACCGGGAGAGCCGGACGCCGCCAAGGCCGCAGCAAGCGGGCTGCGAGCGAATTGCGCCCCAAGGGAAAAGGGGGAGGCGACAAGAGGACAGCGGAAGGAGGAACTGACAGGAGGCGGGCCTCGCTGCCGCTCAGAGGAGGGCGCCGTCGACTGGTGGGGGGCCGCCACGGGCCGCTGACGCGCCAGCGTCGGTGAAGACGAGCCCCCCTTGCCCTGCGTCGCTCGTGCGTCTCTCGGGCTCGCGCCGCACGGGCTCGCCCTCCGAGCCTCCAGGAGCTGCGCGGGGGGGGGGGGGGCGGCTCGGGCTCGAGATGTTGCGGCTCTCGCCTTTGACAGCGCCGCACGCCTTCGTCACCGGGAGCTCTCCAGCAGCCACGCGGACGGCTGACTTGGAGCGTTGTGGATGCCATGACAATGGACACCCTAACAATCCGATCATTGAATGAAAAATGTGCCTAAAATGTCTGAACAATGTTCTAAACATGGTTTAGACATGCTTTTTGCCTGTTTAAAACATGTTTAACGCATGTTTTTGATATCTGGAAAATATTTGGCAACATGCGTCCTCTCCATTGATCGTCCTCCACAATTGAAGCACATCGCAGCTGCAGGGATGGAAGGGAGGCTCCCTTCCAAAGCCGAGCCATCGCCTGAGATTCCCTCGCATGCTGCGGTCCTACAGCGCACCCTCTCGGGCAGTCCTGCGGCTGTCGCAGGCCATCTTCGAAGGCTCTTGGACGGTCTCGGGGTCTCTTGGAAAGTTCTCGCGCCATCTTGGAGCCGTCCTGGACCTCTCTTGGGCCATCTTCGGGGTATCTCAGGCCGTCTTGGGCCGTCCTGGCCGCCTCCTGGGCCGTGTTTTGAAAGGGGGGCGCTCAGAAGCAGGTGCCGTGCGCCATGGAGCCGCTCCCCAAATGGCTTCGCCCGACGACAACGTCCTCCCTCGCTCACTCGCTCTTGCCGTCACCTGGGCCGGCACGGGAGCGGAAAGAGCGCTTCAGGAACCTGCCCCAGAGGGCTCATAGCACCGCTCGCTCCTGTGACATTTGGTTTTTAAGATTTGGTTCACGTCACCGTCCGCTCTTTGGGTCCTTGGTGTGAAGAAACGTGTCACGTCATCGTTCGCTCTGGAGCATTGGCGTCAAGGGCTTTTACGAAACAGTTCGCTCTTGGAGCCTTGAAGAGTTGTTTACGTCACCTTGGCGTTCCAAGCTGTTTACGTCACCGACTCGTGCAAAGAAGCTTTCCAATCACATGATGTTCTTGGGAGCCGTGTGTCCGTCACTGGGCCGTCCAAGAGGGGTCCTCTTGGGGCTATTTTGGGTGCGTTGGGGCCCTCTTGCACCGTCCTGGGACCCTCTTGGACCCTCTTGGGAGACTTCGGCCAGCTTGGGGCGCTCATGGAGCCCTCTCTTGGGGCGTGTTTTTTGTCGTTGCATCCACGTCGTTTGCAGCACCACCGCCAAAGGTCCAACTCTACGCAATGACGGAGTGTGTGCAGACACATCGTCGATAGTGCAAGCATGGCCAGCAGAGAGGGATAGCCATGCTGGAGTAAGAAAAGGCGCACTGATCTACACTCTTAGAGCTTTCCTGTGTTGCACACGGATGCTCAAGTGCAGGGAGGACATGTTCTGAGGAATGGAAAACCAGATTGCCACGCCTACGTAGCACTCACGCGCCCCTGCCCACCTTGACCATCTTCTGTTTAATTGTACGCAAGGCAAGCTTGCGAGGACGACATGGTCACATTGCCATTTTGTGCTCGCTCATCACTGCCATTTTGTGCTCGCTCGTCACCTCGGTCACGTTCTCACCGGTCACCTTCTCACTGGCACGCCGCCTCAATGTGGCATTGGGATCTGGCACAAACAGCATCTCGCAGTCCGAGGTCCCGCACTCCGCATCGACCGCAAGCTTTCGATAGTACTCGCACACCCTCTGGAATCTGTGGGCATCGAAATTGAGCTCACCCACCACATCTCGAACCCACAAGTATGGTTCCGTCACGGTCAAATTCAGACGTGGACAGCCGTTCGGCTGCCACATGTAGCACCCGGGCAGGGCAGGCTGAACCTGGCGCGCCCTGTCACCAACGAACATGAAGCCGTGCGCCGCCTGCGTCAGGGCGATGAGCAAGGCGGCCAACGAGAAGGGGCCCATGGTGGCAGCCGGTGATGGAAACGATGCGTGTGTATCCAAACTCAGACTCAAACGTGGACGCTTGAGACCTCTGCAGGGGCGTCGTGGGGACCTCTTGGGCAGTGACGAGGCCATCAGGAGCCCTCTGGGAGCGTTCTTGGACCGTCTTCGGGTCTCTCTGAGGCCGTCTTGGGGGCACATTTGGCCGTCTTGGATGCCATTTGGGCCGTCTTGGGGCCTCCTGGCCTCCTGGGCCGAAAGAGCCGCCAACATGAACCCCCAGAGTGCGTGTTGGAAATTTCGCCGCGCCACGCCCCCCCCCCTCTGGACGCCCCCCATTGGGGCTAAACCCGTGTGCAGAATTTCTCTCGCTAGCGCTCTTTCCGTCATGCTCGTCTGTCGTCTGGGAAATGGTTTGAATGTGTTCTAACGCCGACCAACCCCCCCTCATCGCGCGCACCCTAAAAGACCACCCACCCTCCTGAAGTCGCTTGCTGGCGCTCTGTTCCGCCTCCGGACGGCGGAGATGGCTCTCAAGACGGCTTCCAAGATAGCCAAGCTGACACCAAGGCGGCTCAAGATGGCCCAAGATGGCACAAGAGACTCCCACACGGCCTCAAGACAGCTCGAGAGGATTCCAAGACTGCCGGAGAGGTCCCCAAGAAGCCATCCAGGAGAGCCCCAATGATTTTGAGGCTCTCACCTGTTTGGGCTTCCGACCGCTCAAGACGGCCCATGAGGGCTCCAAGATAGCTCCAACACAGCCCACGAGGCCACCCAAGAGGGGCCCAAGAGGAGCCCGACATCGCCCGAGAGCCTCCCAAGACGGTCCTCAAGCGCTCCACGAGGGAACCAAAATGACCTCCGATTCCCTGATCATCACTTCCTCTCCTCACTCCTCACTCTTCACTCATCACTTCTCACTCCTCAATTCTCGCACCTCACTCCTCAATCCTCACTCCTCACTCATCACTCCCCATTCTTCACGCCTCACTCCTTACTCCTCATTCCTCATTCCTTACGCCTCACTCCTCCTCCTCCTCCTCCTCCTCCTCCTCCTCCTCCTCCTCCTCCTCCTCTTATTGCTCCTCTTCCTCCTCCTCCTCCTCCTCCTCCTCCTCATCATCATCATCATCATCATCATCATCATCATCATCATCATCATCATCATCATCATTATCATCAACATCAACATCAACATCAACATCATCATCATCATCATCATCATCATCATCATCATCATCATCATCATCATCATCATCATCATCATCATCATCATCATCATCATCATCATCCTCATCCTCATCCTCATCCTCATCCTCATCCTCCCTACCACGTGAACGAAGATGAGGTCGAGTTCACGGCCCGTCCCAGCTCAGACCAGTCGTCGGAATTGCGCTGTTCCTGCACTCAGTCTGATTCCTTCTGTGCTGATGCACGGGCACGGTGGCGGGGTTTGCCGCAGGCAGCTGGATAACGTGGACGCCTGAACACAACTAGCCGGTCATCGACTAAACAGTCGATCACAACATGAGCCCCTGTTGCCAAAACCATTTGGCAGATTCCGAATCGGGGATCGAAACATCGGGAAAACAAAGCACCGAATTACAAGTATGGTCTGCTTGAAAACTGCCAGATTGACACTGCACACCCCGAGACCTCTCCGTACAGATATCCCAAATGTCAAAGGATATTGCAGCGTGATTAGTGGGTGCTTGATTCGCCGTGACTCCAAACCTCGCAACGTTGAATTTGCTTGCTGGTCGGGTGTAAGAGGCGACGCCCTGAAGCCTGATTGCATTCCGTCAGGGACCCCAAACAAGTGCATTCAAGATTGTGGCCCAACAAAGCGCGACTTAGATATCGCCACAATGGTATCCTCCTCTACCTCTGCCTCATGATCCTCATACTTTCCCTTCCTCCTGCTCCTATTTAAAATTAGGCCACTCGATCTACTCATACTCTTTCTCCTCCCCGTCTGGCGTCTCACGGTTGTCATGGTCCTCCTGCTGTTGCCGCTGCTCATGCACCTTGCACTACTCTTCACCAGCATCCCCCACCAGAGCTAAGCAAGAAAGCGGCACGCAGAGCCCCCAAGCCACCTGTCGCGTGAGGCCAGCCGTCAGGCCCGTGTAGAACGCCGAGAAACCCTCGCCAAGCGGAAGGGCCGAGTACCAGAGTTGGGCAAAGACTGTGGTAAGGAAAAGGGGTGGAGGCGCAGAGAGGACACCTGGAGCCAAGAGCCCAGAGGGGGCAGAGGCTGATCGGACGAGGGGGCAGAAGAAGAATCGTGGCAACGATGGCGGCGGCGTCAGGCAGAGGCGAAGCAGCTCCAGCTGCTCGTCCGGCTGCTCCTACGACACACGACGTGGGCCCCAGAAACTCACGACCCCCATCCTCGGGCCCACGCCAGAAACAGCCAAGAACCTCCCGTCGTCATTTTTTCACGACGCGAGCATGTCTGGGTGTCTGCGGCGTCGGAGGTCCCGGCGCCATCCTCTTCCGGAGATCTCCTGCAGCCTCCCGATCGTCCCGCGGATTCTTCCAGCCGGCGGACGTCCCCGCGCGGAGAAATGTGTCATGAGGCCTCGGAGGGGGCCCAAAGCTGGGCAAGGGCGCCCAAAAGCTTGACGCATCCTCGATCTTCGAACCTCGATCCTCGATCCTGGAACCTCGATCCTCCATCCTCGATCTTCGAGCCTCGATCCTCGAGCCTCGAACCTCGAGCATCCATCCTCGATCCATGGGGCGCCTCGTTCTTGAGCATATTGCTGGCGATCGTCACCGGTCCAGCGGCCTCCGCCGAGCCTGCAAGCAGCTGGATGCGGACCTTGACCATGTCGATGGGCTGGGCGGGCCGGGGGGGGGCAAGCACAGACCCAGGCGCGCCGCAGGTCATTTTCCAGTACGATCAGTGGAGGCCTCCTCCTCCTCCTCCTCCTCCTCCTCCTCCTCCTCCTCCTCCTCCCTCCTCCTCCTCCTCCTCCTCCTCCTCCTCCTCCTCCTCCTCCTCCTCCTCCTCCTCCTCCTCCTCCTCCTCCTCCTCCTCCCCTCCCCCTCCCCCTCCCTCCTCCTCCTCCTCCTCCTCCTCCTCCTCCTCCTCTCCTCCTCCTCCGCCTCCTCCTCCTCCTCCTCCTCCTCCTCCTCCTCCTCCTCCTCCTCCTCCTCCTCCTCCTCCCTCCTCCTCCTCCTCCTCCTCCTCCTCCTCCTCCTCCTCCTCCTCCTCCTCCTCCTCCTCCTCCTCCTCCTCCTCCTAGCGCCAGCTCGGCCCGAGCCCCTGCGGGCTCGGCGCGAGCCCGCGCCACGGGCGCATCCCGCGCCGTCCTCGCCCCCGCTCCCCTCCTCGCCCCCTCCGCGCGGGATGGACCGGCCTGTCCGCCGCCGGCCCAACCGGACCGCGGCGGAGCGTCGCGCGCAGTATGCGCGGGCCCAGGGGCGGGCAGCGCAGCACCTGCTGCAGGCCCTCGGGGCGGTCTCGGCGCACCGCGGCCAGCAGCTGTCGCGGCTGGGCCGCGCGGTGCGCCTGGCGCTGCTGGATGGCTCGCCTGGTTTACCTGAAGGGCCTGCTGTGGGAGATGGCGGTGTGCAGCGCCCCGCGGTGCGCCCTGGCGCTGACGAGGCGCTCGGCGACCCGGCTCCTGCCCCTGCTGACGGTGAGGCTCAAGGAGCTCAATACGAAGCAGGTGCTGGCGTGAAGTGGAGGCATCCAGATCATCGTGGAGCCGCGGAAAGTGCTGAGCCTCCTGCAGGTGTTCCTCCTGCGCCTCCTGACGAGGCCTGTGGCGGCGTTCAAAGGCAGCACCATTTTCAAGATGACAGATCTGATGTTCGGCGTGCGCGGTTTTCGACGGCGACCATCCCTGGCGATGGTGGTCCTGCTCATCCCCGTGCTGCGGATGCTCACGCTGCTGTTCGGCGTGCGCGCTTTTCGACGGCGACGGCGCCTGACGATGGTGGTCCCGCTCATCCCCGTGCTGCGGATGCTCACGCTGCTGTTCGGCGTGCGCGCTCTTCGACTGCGACGGCCCCTGGCGATGGTGGTCCTGCTCATCGCCGTGCTGCGGATGCTCACGCTGCGGTTCGGCGTGCGCGCTAGAGCAAAACAAGGGCAAGGACGACAACAAGCGGGTGAGAAGCTTTGCTGCCTAGGCTTCCCTCACTCACGCCCCTGCCATTAGTATCCCTCCCTCCCCCTGTCTCTTTCCTCGGAGTTGTCTGCTCGATTATGGGGTGGTGGAGGCTTGGAGGAGAATCAGGAGGAGGAAACGGTTTCTCTGTTTAAACGACGGTGCTACATCGTGCGCAGTTCATTGATTACTCGTGGCTAGCGGCGGCAACCAATAGAACTGGTTTGTAGCCTGCCGCTTGCATGCCCCTGCTTTGCACTGCGTGGGACTCATCGCGGTGGTTGTTCCAATGGGTTCCACAGGTTGGCGGGGGGCGCGCGCGGATATCATCCCTGGACGCGCTCCTTGCGGCTAGGGGTGCCATCCCCGCTCCCTCAGACTGTCTTGTGATGCCCTCTCTCCTCAGAAGTGTCCAATCCAATCCTCCTCCTCCTCCTCCTCCTCCTCCTCCTCCTCCTCCTCCGCCTCCTCCGCCTCCTCCGCCTCCTTCGCCTCCTCCTCCTCCTCCTCCTCCTCCGCCGCCTC